TAGCAATTGCTAGTGGTATTTTCCTTGTAAAAACCAGAAGGTGAATTTCCAAACCAATAGTCCTGGCTGCTTTATGTGTAAAATCTCATTAATGGAGCGTCGGAGGAGGTGGAACTCTTTCTCCTGAGTTAACTACTGATTATAATGAATGTATCACATATGGGTTTGTTGCTGATTTGGAGTTTTTTCTGGTATTTTCCAGCTTGGATGACATTTAGCGATGTGGAAGAAATTTAGGATTATTAATGCTGAGTCTGTAATCTTGCCAGGAAGTTTTGCGACAGAGAAGGGAAATGGGAAAGGGTTATTTTAATGCTTCCTGGGATTAGGATGTTCCTTTTTCTTTAAGTGTTATTCTCCCTTTTGCCCTGCTGTTTTCGCCAGGTAGACTATCCCAAGAAGTATTCTCCTCCCCTGAAGTGGTTGCTGCTGGGGCACCCCTTGAACATTTGTTGAAGTGGAGCGAAGAAAGACAAGATGGGACGGTCTGTCTGGCTGCTCCAATTCTGCTGAAAAAGGTAGGAAAAAGTGCTTTTCAAATGGCAACTGGATTTTCCTGTTTTTTTTTTCCCCTTGAAAACATTTCACTTTTTATCCAAGAAGCTTCTAACTGAATGGGGAGGGAATATGAGCCCTGGAGGCGCAGTGGTTAGAATGCAGTATTGCAAGCTGACTCTGCCCACTGCCAGCAGTTCGATCTAACCGGCTCAAGGTTGATTCAGCCTTCTGAGGTCTGTAAAATGAGGACTTAGATTGTTGGGGACCATATGCTGACTCTGTAAACCGCTTAGAGCCGTGATGGCAAATCTATGCCACACGTGCGGGAAGTGGCATGCAGAGCTATCTCCCCGGACGCTGCAGCTGTCACCCATTGCTCTTTCACATGCATGCGCCGGCCACCTGGTCTTCTGGTTTGTAACACTGGCCGGCGCATGCATGTGCATTAGAAACCAGCCGACCACCTGGTCTTCGCGTGCGCATGCACATTAGAGGCCAGAAGACCAGGTGGCCGGTGCGCATGCCCATGTCAGGAGCTGCTCTTCTGGTTTCCAGCGCATGCACATGCATTTTGGCAGTTGGTGCATTTTCAGCATGCGTGCGCTCCTGTTTCGGCACTCAGTGCTGAAAAGGTTAATCACCTCTGGCTTAGAGAGAGAGGGCTGAAAAGCACTATGAAGCGGTATATAAGTTTAAGTGCTATTGCTATTTAGGCTTTAGGGTTTTTTTTTTAATTCATATGTTGCCTATCTCCCCGGTAAAGCAAATCTTGTTACAAATACTACTGGAATCCAGCACCCACCCATGAATAAAGCCTGATGAGAATACTGTGCCACATTAGTGTGCCTTTAGCGATATAGTAAATGTTTATTTTATTTTTTTTAAAAGAGCTTGTTGAAAGGATGACATCTTCTATGAGCCCCAAACCTAGGCAGACGAAAAAGAAGGCATTTTTTGTGACTGCAGTCACATCCCATGGTTTAGTATTTTTATTGTGTTTGTGAGTCATCCAGGTTTGTGGATGAAACCACTGCAAGCAAGTCAATGCATCAACAAATGGATTGGAGCGTTAAAAAACCCAAACCTAAATTCTACCTAACTAGGCCTTGTATGTGTGAAGCCAGTTGCTAGGTCTTTCGTTGACCCAGTTATCATTATGTGATTCTGTGATTTCCTCTTATCTTCCTTTTGGTCCATATCATAGGAGGTAATTTGGCTTTGTGTTGAGCCATTCAGACACAGCAGCATTATAACTGCTTTGTAGAAGGTTCTGCTTGTTGCATGTCCGTAGGAGTTACTGCTTTGGATTTACATCCTTCTTTTGAGGAGCACATTCAGAACAGGCATTCAGATAGGAATCGAGGATATATGGGTAGTCCTCAACTTACGAACAAAATTTATGATGTTAAGTGAGAAATTTGTTAAGTGAGTCTTGTCCCATTTTACAACTTTTCTTGCCACATTTGTTAAGTGAATCACTGCAGTTGTTAACACGGATGTTAAGCAAATCTGCTTTCTCCATCGACTTTGCTCGTCAGAAGGTTTTAGAAGGTGATCACATGATCACATTTATATTGACTGTTTCCTAGTATGATTTGATTGCTTATTGTACCTATGACTATCGCTAAGTGTTGTACCTTATGATTCTTGATGAATATATCTTTTCTTTTATGTATACTGAGAGTATTTGCACCAAGACAAATTCCTTGTGCCTCCAACCACACTTGGCCAATAAAGAATTCTATTCTGGGATACTGCAGCTGTCATAAATGTGAATCAAGCCAAATGCAAATCACATGACCATGGGGATGATGTAATGGTCATAAGTGTGGAAAATGGTCATAAGTCCCATTTTTCAGTGCTGTTGTAACTTCAAACAGTCATTTAAGTGAACTAAGTCACTAAGAAAGTCAAGGACTGCCTGTACTTGTAATTTGATGTAATTCTTTTTTATGTTGTAAAAGAAAATGTGAAAGAAATCCTCCTTCAACTATTTGAAGTTTTATTTAATAATAATGCCCTAAGGCAACAGCTGTGTTGATATTTCTCCCAAAGTTGTGGTTTATTGACCCATACTCTATTTTTTAAGGGACACTAACCCTACATTTACACATCAGGCAGCCTTTTTTTTTTCACCAAGTCACACAGCTGCATAAAATTTTTTAATTAGACATGCTGCTTTATTGCCCTATTAGTTTTTTCCCTTCCCTAACAACTAATTGGTGTATTAAACCGTTCTTTCTTTTACTGATTTTTTTTTAATTGTAAAGCCTGGACAAAAACTGTAATAAAGAGATTTGATTCAATTTGATCCATGGCTTATGAGTAAACCAGAGATGGTTGATTTTATAATAGTAAGCTATAAACTAGTGATTTCATCTCACAGTGGCTGAAATCACACACTGCTGGAGAATAGAATAGAATAACAGAGTTGGAAGGGACCTTGGAGGTCTTCTAGTCCAACCCCCTGCTCAGGCAGGAAACCCTATATCATTTCAGACAAATCGTTATCCAATCTCTTCTTAAAAACTTTCAGTGTTGGAACACCCACAATTTATGGAGGCAATTTGTTCCACTGATTAATTGTTCTGTCAGGAAATTTCTCCTTAGTTCTAAGTTGTTTTTCTCCTTGATTAGTTTCCACCCATTGCTTCTTGTCCTGCCTTCAGGTGCTTTGGAGAATAGCTTGACTCCCTCTTCTTTGTGGCAGCCCCTGAGATATTGGAACACTGCTATCACGTCACTCCCTAGTCCTTCTTTTCATTAAACCAGACATACCCAATTCCAGCAACTGTTCTTCATATGTTTTAGCCTCCAGTCTCCTAATCATCTTTCTTGCTCTTCTCAGCACCCTTTCTAGACTTTCAACATCTTTCTTACATAGTGGCAAACAAAACTGGATGCAGTATTCCAAGTATGGTCTTACCAAGGCCTTATAAAGTGATATTTACACTTCACGTGATCTTTCTTCTATCCCTCTGTTAATAATGCACCCCAGAACCGTGAGTATTGTTGATGAAGTAGAAGATGCTGTCAGATTACAGTAAGTCCAGAAACAGGCTGTTTTCCTGTTGCCTTTTTAAAATCAAAAATTGAACTATGCGCTCTGAGCTTGAATGATTAGGGCAGATTAATGGGTGAGGGGAAGACAGAGATTTGCTGCTGATTAGAACATGGGACTCACTTCTAAAGCCAGCTTAATCTTGCCAGTTGGTTTTCTCAAGGAAACTGCTTTCTGTGGACTAGAGATGTTAAAAGAGAAAAATAGAACATTCTTATTTTTTTTCTCCTCCTGTAAATCTTTGCCGCTTCACCTTCTAAGTGAGTTCCATTCTACCCAGAGATGGATGATCCCTATGTAAAGACCTTGTATTTGGGATGCCTGTCCAGAAGATAAATGGATGTACTGTATTTAATTTGAAAATATTACTTTCCATTAAGGGTGGTGCTTCATGGAGCCATTTCTGTTTATGCGCAAATAGATGGATCATTAATTCCATATCCAGCAGTGCGGTTAGATAATTTTAGGCTCTGTTTAGAAAGGGGCCTTCATGGCTGTTTTCAGGTTGCCATTATTAAAGAAATGGAAACATTTTTTCAATCCAAAACAGATGTCCTCTCGGTCTAGCAAGTTTTGTGGATATGCAGATCCATCAATCTTGGCTAAATGTGAGCCAACATTTGATTGAGCAGCTGGAAAAAATTGCCAGTAGGTATTTGATGGCTATCATAATCACAGTTCTTTTTCATTTCCCCTTGTAGCCACAACTTGTTCTCATATCTCTGAGGTTTTTAATTCAGCTCTAGCCAAAATTCCAATGTCTTTCTTTAAAAATGAGGTATTAATCTATTTCCTGAAATGCACTGAGGCTAATTTCATGTCAAGTATTTAATACACTCGTATATTGTCAGTTGATAAACGCCAACTCGTATGAAGATTGAACTGTTTTGCTGAGTTTTTCCCTGATTTGAATTGATGTTCCCATCTTTTCTTTCTTTCTATTATGGTACTGCCATTCTGTTTTACTTTTGTAAGGTTTTTGTATTGACTGGGTTTTCTTCTTTTTTTTTTCCTGTGCAAGTTGCTGAGATTCAATTTATTTCAGCAATCTAGTTATATGTTTAATAAATTAATATCCTGACACCACCTTATTCAACTTTCTTTCATATCTCTCCTGACTACTGTGATGACTGTAAGTCTTTTGTTATAAAATGCAGGACAAGAAGCAATGGATGGAAACTAATCAAGGAGAGAACCAACTTAGAACTAAGGAGAAATTTCCTGACAGAACAAATGATCACTAAGCGATTGACAAATCAAATAAATATTAAAAATACTAAATACTAAAAGACTTCTAAGGTCGGTTCCAACTGTGCCATTCTGTTTCACAAAGCTGTCATTTAGATTTTATTTAATCATTTTCTTTGCTTTTGAATGCTTTTCCTAAAGCAAAGGTATACACTTAAGCAATTTCTTATCCTTATTAACCTCTTTGGAATTTATCCCATTTTCTAATTTGTTCTTTATTTTCGCACGAAAATATGACCTGTGCACCCCAGACATAAATCTGAGGATGGAAGCATGCTCTTCCCCGCAGTTCATTTCGCTTCTTTCTTTGCTTTTTTTGAACAGACCACCATAGGATCTGTTACATTTCTAATGCGCTGAGTGTAATTCAGGATATTGTAGGTGCCCCCAAGATGGCAAGATGCAGACCACCCTATGTTGCCTTAAAAGAAAGGGTTTAGAGCAGGGGTCTCCAACCTTGGCAACTTTTAAGACTTGTGGACTTCAACTCCCAGAGTTGAATTCTGGGAGTTGAAGTCCGCAAGTCTTAAAGTTGCCAAGGTTGGAGACCCCTGGCCTAGAGCAGTGTTTCTCAACCCTGACAACTTTAAGATGCTTGGACTTCCCCAGACAGAATTCTCCAGCCAGCCATAATCTTAAAGTTGCCAGGGCTGGGAAGTTATAAGAACTGGGTTTGCATAAAATAATGAGAATATGTTTGGTGGGAGGGAG